CTCTCTCTCTCTCTCTCTCTCTCTCTCTCTCTCTCTCTCTCTCTCTCTCTTTCTCTTTCTCTCTTTCTTCACATACTATCCCTTTCTCTCTTGGTCGCTAACCTTCTTTATAGTTCGCATTCGCTCTAAGTTATTTCGTTTTGTTTTCAAATCCTGTGAAAAATAAAAAAAAAAAATTTCTAGTTGATGTGAAAGCGCAATTTTTCATTATTAGAAAATCGAATCATCTAAAGTGAATACGTTGAAAAGAAAAACCCCTTAAGGTTATGCAAAGATTTCAATTTTAATTAAATATGTCCCGAAAGTTATGAAAAATACGATTTCTTATACTTATTATACCGTATCTCTATATATACGATGTTCATAAATTAATAAGACGTTTTCATATATTTGACTTAACACGAATAAAAAAAGATTTGTTTGCCTTTTTGTCAGCTGAAAAGCAATTTATTTCCTTTCCTAAAAGTAGGCAAGCATAATATGTAATACTCTTACCTAAATGTGGACAATAAAATTCTTTTCTCTTTACATTATCAGAACACATAACGAATGTTTTAAAGTATTTTCCATTTTATTTTTGTACCCATCACCGACAGATGAGGGGTGTATTCATCTTGTCAGAAAGTTTGCAACACTCACAACATAGCTTCAGGGACTAACAATGTATATATATTCTTGATCAGCATCAAATTCTGAATTGATTTATACAGGTCTGTCTGTCCGTCTATCCAATGTCGATTGTAAACATTCTCCTGACCGCAAAAATGAACGCATCGACTTCAAATTTGCCGGAAACATTGAAAATTCCTGCACACACCGTCGAACGGCACGGCTACAGTACCACGTAGAGTGAGGATACCTTTCTATTTCACGAGAAATAACAAATTGGCTTTTTGCTCATTACTAATAAACTGAGAAACGGATAACTCTACGAAAAATTAAACATACACTCTGTGGGTGATGTTCTAGTAGTTCTATAAAAATGGAACAAATCGGCCACGTCTACGCAGCTGTGTGTTCTGCCGTTTGCAAATAAACAAATATCGCCTACAGAAGTGCAAAAGAATTTGGAATTGATCCAAACCGGTCAAAGAACGCGCTTACAATGCTCACTAGTTTATGTAACGGAAAGTATGAACACCTTTCGTTTCCAAGTTTTTTTCAATGTTACTCATAAAGTACCGTACATGGACCACATAAATTTGCACTTTTATTTTGAAAAGGCCGATCGTCCTTCACCTTTTCCGACCGAATATAATTTTCTTTCTTGCTCACTTTTGTGATTTATGCAAGGCGGGTTTGTGCGCGTATCGAAGTTATTTCCGTATCCATATTGGCCACTGAAGTTGTTCGCTTCATTCGACTTCAGGCAGCGAGATAGGTGAATACATTTTTAACAGTTTTTTTAAGAGGATATTGGACAGATTGCATGCAAGACGGCAACAAAATGAACATTTCTGCCTTATGCTGAGCATAATCACTGAAAGATTCTATCTCGCTATGTTTATTGCATTTTTGGTATTCTGACGTTTATACCCCATCATCCCAGAAAGGACGAAAAAAGTGAGGATGATTTTTTCTATTTTCATAATAAAAGCTTTTGTCGCATTAGCGTGAGGGAGTTGTAAGCGCGTCTTGGGCAAAGTTTAAAAGTGACTTCGAAATTCTTTTGCTAATTTCGCGACAATAACTTCATACTCGCTAACGACATAACGTGTACCACAAGTACTACACATTCGCGCAGTCAAACTGGTGAACGGATTAACAGACGGACATGTTTAAATGCATTTCAAATTTGGATCTGGCCAAAAGTTTATATATATTATGGGGTTTTTGAAGCTTGTTTCTGAGGCGCCTTTCATCAATTCCAAAACTTTTTTTGCATATTATTACGAACACATTTGTGGGCGTTGAACGCCCAATAATAAAGTTTCCGTCAAGTTTCAGCTTGCTTTGTTCAATTTTTCAACCGTATTTCACTTAAATACTCTAAGCAAATGGCGGGAGAGAGAGAGATGGAGTCCATAAACGAATCGTTGAACGCAAATTAATGACTTAACCAAATTAGGATTTTTCACTAACTATACATAAATTATATTCATAATAATTGCACAAATTGAGTGATAAGTGTTTGTGCAGCGAGGAGGAACTAGTTTCATTATCTGGTCTGCCCTTGTTTATAATTTCTGTACATCACTTTTATGCAGACATCGATTTAACTAATTTCGGTAATTTTTCTAATTTCGTCTGAAATGAAGAAAAATATGTCGATTTCATCCCGTAAAAAATATGTATATATATCTCGATTTCTGCATACTCTATCCATCTTGGAGTTTAATTTTTGTGACAACCAACTGGTCGATATGGCTGTGTTAATGTATGCTCGTTTGCTTATTTGTTCCAAGAAAAAAAAAAAAAAAAAAAAAAAAAAACAGTAGCAAGCAGAAAAAAAAAACAAATTGATTGCATTAATAGAACGTTACAAATGAAAAATATATCATCATCTAGATGGCGCATTGCAGAGGCAGGAAGGAGGAAAAGTTACTTGTTCCTTATTCAATTGTTTTCTTTTTTGTCTTTTAAATTTTTTTAAATTTCTCTTTTCTCATTTTTCATTATTTTTACCATATAAGCAAAAACAAGAAAAAGACACAAAGCTGAAGATTGCTCATTTCATACATTGTGCGGACGTAAATGCCATAACATTCATTGTCATTGCGATGGAAAATGATGTAAATGCTATGGCATTTCAATTTTGAAGCCAATTATTTTTCATTTAATTTTATATAACTGCAATATTATTAATCGTAATATATATATATCGTCATTTGCGTTACTGCATTCATTGTTTATTATAAGCAAATATATAATAGTTGCGCTTAAAAAACATGTCTAATCAGTTTTCGAACATCCGAACGAATTTTAAAATGAACTCAATCTCTCTGTCAACTGTTGAAAGTCCGTGAAATATGTACTGACCTTGCTATGAGCAAATGCTTTGTTACCTGCTTCCGTACACAAAGTCAAGATGCACTTACTTGGTTGTATAACTTGGCTACACGTACACCTCACATCGAAAGATTGAAGTAACCACGTATTATAGCGTTATCCTTAAGGATAGCGTGACAATTTTAAACGTCCAACTTGTCGAATCTATTTTTTTTTTTTTTAGTCTTAAATCTGTCAAAATTGAAGAAGAAAATTAAAACTTAAGAAATGTATTGATTGAATTGTCTTTGATTGAATTACCGTAATAGTAAAAGTTAATGTGATCTATCCACATATATAGCGGCAGAGTTTGGGGGGGAGGGGAGGTTGTGCTCTTTGCTTTTTGTTTGAGTGCATTTATATGCCGTTTAATGTTTATTTCGTCCTTTCTCTCGCTTGCATAATGCAATAAAATGTCATGAAGCTTAATAGAAATCATATTAAATCGACTTAAAGAAGAAATGAGTTTTCAATATTCGAAGCGTTGTATTATGCGAGAGGAGAGTACTATTGTATTATTTGTGTTTGATTTGCCAGGTTCTGTCAACATCCGAAGGCAATGTGTTGGAAGATGAAAATGCCATTAACATTTTGTCATCCAGTAAAATACTGTCAGAGGAGATTCAAAAGAAGCAAGTTGTTGCCGTCGCAACCGAGGCGGAAATTGATGAGGCACGTCAACGTTATGTACCGGTAGCCAAACACTCTGCCATACTATTCTTTTGCATCAGTGAACTGGCAAACATTGATCCGATGTATCAATATTCGTTGGGATGGTTTTTAAATCTATTTGTGAATGCCATACTAAAGGCACCGAAATCGAACGCACTAAAGGAACGTTTGGCTAACTTAAATGATTTTTTCACAAAATCAATTTATCAGAACGTATGCAGATCATTATTTGAAAAAGATAAACTCGTCATATCATTGGTCATGTGCTTGGGTATATTGGTATCAAGAGTAAGTGATTTTTTTTTTTCTTTCCTATTTGTATATACATACATATTTACATACATATATGCGATATAAATTTACAGCAATAAACGAATCATTAATTTACTAGAAGATAACAACATTTGAAGCAATCATTTTAATGAATGTTTTTTGCTCCTTTCATTTGCTAATTTTCGACCAACAACCAACATGAAAAAACAAATCCAAAAAAAAAAATTAAATAAATAAATGAAAATAAAAACCTATAGAAGAAAACAAAAGCAAAAAGTAATGTGGGAAAAACGCACACCAGAAACAAACAAAAAAAAAAAAAAAAAAAAAAAAAAACATTTCTATGCTTACTTAGCCTATTCATTTGTTCATTTATTTTCCTTCCATTTCTATATATTATACATATATATATATACAAATTTTTATTTCTATTTACATTTACATATACATATGTATTTACTTTCCATTTGCTTTTTGTCTTTCTGTTTTTCTTTATATATATGTGAAACAAACATTCGTCTAAATCTTGCCCGTACCACCTAACGACTCTATACCGAATGTAATGTAAATGTTCATCAACACCAACATCGACCTCATTTTTGATCTGATGTTCTATGCTGGCTCGCTGTGCGCATATATATTGTTCATGGTCGCATAATGGGAACTCTGGGCAACAAATAAAAAAACCAAAAAAAAAAAAAAAAAAAAAACCGCATACAAAACACAGGGCAAAGTAAATAAAATGCACTTGTTGTTCTTTTTAACGGGAGGCGTTGGCTTGCAAAATATTCCACCTAATCCGGCATCGGCATGGCTTCCCGAAAAGGCTTGGACTCAAGTTGTGCTTGCCAGCAACTTGGAAGGGTAAGCAATCGCACCATACAATTTCTCTTCTCCACACACATTATACACAAACATTCATATACCGACACAAAAGCATTGCAAAATATACATTTTGCTTATACAGCTTTCTTAGAATATAAAGCCAACACAAAAACACAAAAAAGGTTAAATGCCTTTTTGAGGTATTATTCCAAAAAATTAAGTCCTTAAATACACGTTTTCGAGTAAATATTAAATGGGCCTCTATGCATATTTAGGTACATGCAAATGCATTCATTAATGTATTGATCTTTTTTCTTGTTTCTTTTTATACCCATCGCCGACAAATAAGGGGTATATTCATTTCGTCAGAAAGTTTGCGACGCGCAGAGGAAAGCGACGGGAACCGCACAAGTTATATAAATTTCTTGATCAGCTTGAAATTCTGAATGGGTTTAGGCGGGCCAGTCTGTCCGTCTGTCTATCTATAGGTTTGCCTGGCTGTGGCTAACATTATTGCTGGTCGCTATCAGCTTCAAATTTGACAAAAACATTGAAAATTCTTAGACCCGAGTTGATATTGAAAATAGGCTGTCCATCCCACCTTCTGCGCATTCGTGCAGTATCGGCAATAAACATTCTTGCCTTCGCAAAAATGAAGATATCACTTGCAAACTTCCAAGAGGATTTAAAAGGGATCGAAACTTTTCCTACAACAAGCCCACTCGTCTATATAACAAAAACTTTTTTGCTTATTACTCATATAGTATTACACATGCAACTGAGAAGTTTGTACTTTTATTTCGGAAATAGAGAAAATCAGCCACGCCCATCGAGTATTGTAGAACATGAAAACAATCCTTTCCCCGTTTTTGTTTTTTTTTTTTTTTTTGGTCATGACCGAATAGAATTTTCATTCTTGTTTATGCAAGACAATGATTTATAGCAAAATTTAAGTTATATGGAAATTGCTTGCTAACGACAGCCCAGCACTTATTGGATATACCAAACACTTATTCTTATGACATACCGACTCTAACCTTGTTCTCTTCATTGCCATACCCGCATCATATGGCTTAACTCTATATTAAGGAAGTTGTAAGAAGAGCAAAAAATTATGATTGAATGTTGCATATGCATGCTTTCATCTATCTAATACACGCCAATTACATATGTACATATACACATAAAAGGGAGTTGTTACCACCGAACATAACCTTTAAACTTCTCTACACAACCTCAAAAGTCTACACAACCTCGAAATTATCGATACTTTCCAAAGTATTCAACTAACTTGTCATAATTAAAATAAGTATCGTTACTAACCATGGTTAACACACTACATGACAACAATTTCTTTTGATCCTTGGCTAATAATATAATAAAAAAATGTTCACAAGTTATTTTTCTTAAAAATTTGTCAACACATTTACGTTATCTTTTTGCATAAAATCACAACGAAGACAATCGTCCTTTTGCCGCCGTCTTATACGTATCCGTACTAGAGGAGGGTCTACTGTATGAATTAATTTGTATATTCATATATCGTGCGGATTTTATTATTTATGAAGATTTATTTAATGGTTGCACTTATTTATGTATTTTTCGCCACATAGTTATGAGCACATTTTATAAACTGCTTATGTTATATTTCGTAATAATTTCCCTTCATTAGCATATTGAAAAAAAAAAATTACTACTATTTTGCAACTTTACAAATTATTTCCTAAGAGAAACTTGCATAATACACTGCTACATGCGGACAGCCAGTAGTCCTTTATTCGAGTACATACGCAATCTATATATGTGACAGAAACAAGCATGACGTGCATATCCAAGTATTAACTTCTCCAACGTATATATATATATATATATATATATATATACATATGTATATAATTGTATATAAACAAATCGACATTCGCAGATGTCCTTTCGTCTCATTGAAAAGCAGGATTCTCGTTTTTCTTCTTCTTCTTTTTTTCAATAATATCTTATTATGCTTTGTAAATTATACAAAAGATTATTATAATAATAACATTATGAAAAGATTTGTGCGGATTTTTTTTGCAACTTTTTCTTCTTTTTTTCTTCATTCTAGACTACCAAAGTTTTTTACAAATTTTGAAAAAGACATTGCCAAATGGAAAACATACTATGACTTGTCATCACCAGAGGAGGCTAGCCTTCCGGCACCGTACGAAAATGTCGATGAAATGTTACACTTGATAATTTTAAAATGCCTAAGACCCGATAAAATTGTTCCAGCTGTCAGGGTAAGTTTGGCTAATAAAAATAATCACAAAAAAAAAAAAAAAAAAAAAAAAAAAAATACGCGAAAAATGAAAAACTTATGAAATAATGTTAATAAGCTGTACATTAGATTCCACTTTAATGTAAACAAAAGTGCAATGTAGTACGAAGGATATCCGACATTTATTACAGAAGTTTGACGGTAGCGCTGTGCTGTCTGATTTATTGAACTATGAGTCTGTTCAGATATCTCACCTTTTTCGTGTTGTTGAAGGTGATAATACTCCAAAGGCTATTATTATTCTAAAACTCTTAAGATGTTACCTCCCCCAACTATGTTTGTAATACGTATATGATGAAGATGCTCGAAAGTAGTATAATATAAACGTGCCCCTTAAGAAAGTCAATAGCGTAGTCTGTACGTCCGCTTAATGCTATCAAATTTGGGACGTCAAAGGTCTCACTGATAAAGTGAATGTCCTGACCTGAATTTGTCTTATCGTCAGTAAAATACTTCAATCGAGACGTATGAAGTTAGCATAAAATCATCTACACCACTTATAATGAAGGTATATTAAGGTTGTACGCATCTATGCCATACCTAGAAAGACTTAAGAAACTTTATGATAAAACTCGATGCAGAAACACTTCCCGAATCAACTTAAACATCCCTGTCAAAGAAGCCTCATGAGTAGTAGAGTAAAACTCTTCTTCCTTATTTCCGTGACTTTGTTTTGGTAAAGTACAAATTAGAAATTTTTTTTCTTTCCAGTTATTCTGATTAAGCTTGTTACACTGACTTAAGAACGAAAAATTCTAGTGTAAACATTCTCGAGAAATCTTGATAAAAAAGTGTGGTGTGGCAACAAGATATAAATTTTATTATCTAATAACGAAAACTACAACAATACAATAATAAATCAAAATTGTTGCGATAAGTTTGGACTAAAGCGATCCATTGTTTGGGCGCATAAAAAATAGGCCTTTTATATGGGATAGAAAGATACAATTTATAATCGTTTATGACGAGGACAGATAAAAAATTGTATAATGCGGTATAGTGTAGTTAATAGTCGGCGCTGCCAGTAAGATGATGCCACATACAGATATGAGTGTTAGTTAACCAAAAACAATTGCAGTTTATTACAGACTTTTCGTTTCAATATAAATCGGCCATGAATATTGAGAAGATGAAAAAAGAAACAATAAAACTGAGAATCACTCTAACAGAAATTATTGCTTGCTTTTCTTTTGATACGTATTCCGCTTTTTTCTGAATATTATCCAATAATTTTTGCTTATTTCAATTTCATTTAATTTATATTTAAACGTTCCTTGTTTTTTTTCAATTTTCTCTTTTTTTTTTTCTATCTCTCTCTCTCTCTCTCTCTCTCTCGCTTTTTCCAGAGTTATATTACACGTAACATGGATCGTTCATTTGTAGAGCCACCGCCCTTCGATTTAAATGCATCATTTGGTGACAGCTCACCAAAAATACCATTAGTGTTCCTGTTATCGCCCGGCTCCGATCCCATGGCCAGTCTTTTCATGTACGCCAAACAGCGTAATATGTACGACAAGTAAGTCAATTAACCAGAACATCAGGGGGAAAACCCATCACAGGGAAATATATTAAAAAAAGCAGAAGAGAAAAAAAATAAGAAGAAACGTAAAATTATTTTAAAATTTATATAGATGCAGGTATATGTCTGTATGCATGTGTGTGTGTATATATATATATATATATATATATATATACGTAAGCGCGCTGATATGCAAACACAAATACACGTTTGCACAAAATACAACTAACGTACTGCAGTTAGCAGCATGTCTTCTCACAGCTGGACTGGCCACTGTAAGTGAGATGTTACTATTGCTGCTCTTATTGCTGGTGTAGCATGTCACTCAACAAATTAGGGGTCATGTTCGAAATTCAGCTTTTTCTTTTTTTTCGTTTCCACAAAGGCGATGCCATCATATGTACACACCGAGTGCATACATATTTGCTTGTATACGCAAGCACAAGTTTTCAGTTAATTCATTTCTTGCCATGCCATGGAATTAAATATGTCCAGTTATTCTGTGTGTGTTGTAGCCTTTGTAGCTGCAGATTTTTTGTTGTTTTTTTTGTTGTAGAATCTTCTCAGCATTTTATATAATTTTTACACAATTTTTATCATCATCTTGCATGTGCGACATTTAAGAACATCGATGTGGGCACATATTTATTCTTACAATTCTATAATAGATGTAATTGTACATGGGTTTGTGTTTGCGTGTGTATATATATATATATATATATATATATATATGTGTGTATGTATGTATGTATGTATGTATGTATGTGTTCAGACATTTTATATTCTTATTTATATAGCACACAAACAAACATGAAATGCATTTTTACGATAAAAATTTTTTTAATTGATGAGTACTTGACTGCTAAAAGAGAGAAGAATATCGAAAATGTAAATAAGCAAAAAAAAAAAAACAAAAAAAAAATTCGACTTAAAACGAAGTAAATGGATGCACTACTTCCAAACTTATCCATATATGCTTTGTGGGGAATTTAAAACTACCATTAACTTAGTTACCATTTTTTATTCAAAAACTAACAACAACAATAAATTTTGAAGAACATTGTGTTGAGCAAAAAAATATGCAGTTATTATTACAGCGCGTTGCTGTCTGAATTATTGAAGGAAAATTCTTTTATAGAAGTCGTCAGGTGAATTCACCATCGGTTACGCAATGCCAATTATTGTGATTTAATTGAAACGCTCTGGATTGTAATCGTGCTGCATTACTATCACACATCAAATATCGGTGTACGCGTTCCCACATTGTAAGCACAATGTTCTGTTTCTCGCAATCATCCTTATAAATAATAATCTAAAAATAGCTTACGACTTGTTTTCATTCTTCACGTCCTCGTAACATTTTAATTGATTTATTGCGTAGTTAAAAACGCAGGCTTCTAGTTTATTAATAAAAACTTTTCTTCTTCATTTGAAATATGAAAAAAGAAATTGAAATAATTATTGTGTGAAAGAAAAACAAAAAATATCATTCGTCTATTATGATACGTCTATAAAGTATATACATACACATGTCCGCTACAATATTAATTAGAATAACCCAAAATCAGGGGCTACGTCTCGCAATCCCGAAACGCATAACTAACTAACAGCAATATATCAATGAAATTTCAAGTTTCATATTTTTTTAAGAGGTTAAGTAAGTTTTACAAATTTCTACAGTGTCCCGGTAGTCTGCCACAATCCCTACATCCAGCTTGTGAATATTACTGAAATTCATATTTCTTTATATTAAGGAAACTGATAAATAATGAGTAAATAATAAAAGAGAAAACTTGCTGCTGTATGTGTTCATATGTGTTCACATTTTTTAAAAAGGATGAGTAAGCAAATTATATTCGGTCGTGATCGAATCTTTTATAACCATCGCCGTGACCCTAAAGAAAATGAAAAGAACTAAACTTTCATACTCTATAATATTTGTTGGGCGTGGCTGATTTTTTCTTCTCTCAAAATAAAATTTATATGGTATATGTGTTGTACGTTGTGCGTAACAAGCCAAAAAAAAAAAACATGGAAAGCAAAAGAGGAGTTTACAGTCGGGTGGGCGTGTTACGAGAATGTTCTTTGAAAATTTTGTCTTCCTTTCAAATTCGCTTACGAGAGTATTTTTATCACGGATACCACACGATTGCGAAGAAGGACAGATGGACAAATGAACGGACGGACGTACTTGTATGCAATCCGAATTTTAAACTGGCCAAAAATTTATATACCCTTGTGGGGCTTTTGCAGTCAACTATTGGGAAAAAAATTACATTTTGGTATACTATAATATTGAGTAGGCGTGACCGATTTTTTTGCATTTTCGTTCACGTAGTACAACGTTGCCCGTAGAGGATGCGTTCAAATTTTTGCTGATCTATCTGGCGTAATTTACGAAAAACAGATGTGTCCTCACCTTACGTAGCACTGTGGGCGCGCCCTTCGACTGATTTAGCCCCTGCCTACAAGAATTTTCAATCTTTTCGCAAATTCGATAACGGCCAGTGTAATATTTACAACAGACATCACACAGACAGACAGACATATATAGGGGGCCAGACGGATAGACTGCAGATGGGCACGCTTAAATCGATTTTCTGAAGCTAGCTTGTAGACGTTACAAACGTTTTAACAAAATCCATATACTCCTCATTCTTCGCTGACGAGTATAAAAAGGGGAATGTTTTAAGTCTCTCCTCGTCATCACAGGAGCAAGCAATACTTCATTTTTGCCTCTTACTGTATTTCATCATAATGAATTTAATTTTTTAATCTATTATTACATAATTGATTTCTTTTCTCGCAAATCGGAAAAAAACTTGAATAAATTCTTATCGTTGGGTTATGAATTAACGTTCACGGTTTAAGCTTCAGTCGTCAGATAATGGCTTTTATTATTTAGCGTTTCAAGTGTACACAATTCAGGTTGTTGTTAATAAACAAGCTAAAAGTGGGAAAAAGTAATGAGAAGTTGGCAGTCAACAGCTATCTCCCGCCAAATATGAAGGAGAATAGCTAAGGGGCAGATGAAAGGAATGTGGTAGCTCAAGAGCACAAACGAACGGTCGACCCAATATAAGCGGAAATATTGTTGGAGAGAAAGATAGCGAAACGCAATCGATGACTGAGTTTAGCATAAAGAAATTCTAAACAGAGTATTGGATAGGGTCGTGGTAATTCGCTTATGTGAATGGCTAACCGAATGTAAACAGACATAGGCAGTAAAGGCAGCGACTGCTCAGCGTTAAGATAGTAAGTCGTTAGATGATGATTACCCGCTAATTCCATCTGCAATTGAGATTAAAGCATTAAATACAATATTTTGAGGAACGCTAATCCATAACGAGAACAAAAACGGATAAAACATAACCAATTCGTAATGCAATAATGCTGAGTTGTGAGTTGATTATAAAGAAACATGAGCGCAAAACCAAGGGACGTGCACATGAATGCAGCCGAATTCAACTATTTATTTATTATGCGGGAATGTCGTTTACTGAATAACTGTTATAATGTGAAGCGCATTTTCACACAATCTAGCAAAAGTGATTGGCAAAAATTTATTACCTATAAAGGGGATCGAAGAGGCAAATACACAACCATTTCACTCAATTTTTTTCTTCACATGTGAAAAAAGTCCGCGATGAAAGACTTGCATTATATACGAAAGATGTTTGCACCTTACAAATATCTATCTATCGATCTATTTGACATGAAAGGATAGGAAACGTATTGATTTAATGACTCGGTACAAATCAAAAACATCCATCAGAGATCTAATGCGAGTATATATACTTCTTGTGCATATTATAGCAACATAAGTTACCGTTCTTTTTAATCGGTTGTGTGTGTAATTCGCCATTTTACCTATTTTTGAAATACGCAACTTACCTTTGGAAAGTTTCGGAAAATTTTTGGAAAAATTGCTAGAGAAACTTCCCGATACACGTACAACATCTACAGTTATTTCTTTGTTTTTTGTATGATTTCATTTGTATCTTTCACCTTTGCTTTTCTTTTCTTTCTCTCTTATTGGCCATCTATCAATTGAAATGTCGATTGAAAAGGACCAAAACTATATCATTGGGTCAAGGTCAAGGACCGCGCGCAGAAAAAATGATACTAGAAGCCAATCGTTACGGTCAATGGGTTGTTTTGCAAAATTGTCACGTAGCCGTTAGTTGGATGGGCGAACTGGAGCGCATTTGCAGTGATACGTCATTAGCGGAGATGGCACATGCCGATTACCGTTTATGGTGTACTTCATATCCGAGTTCAGTGTTTCCGGTGTCAGTATTGCAGAACTCAGTTAAAATGACAAATGAACCGCCAAAAGGTCTTAAAGCCAATATGCAAAGATCATTTAATTCGGATCCGTTGGTGCGCGATAAATTCTTTACCAATGCATTCATATTTATGGAATCGGCCAATAAATGCTGGTTGCGCGGTGTCTTTGCGTTAGTCTTCTTTCATGCGGTTGTGCAAGAGCGACGTGAATTCGGACCATTGGGTTGGAACATACCGTATGAATTTAGTGAAGCGGATTTAAAGTAAGCTCCCACCACCCCCCCCCCCCCCCCCCTCTCCGCCAAATCCTTATACACAAATATATTTTTATTTACATGCACGTACCCACCCATGCGCTTGAATAAAATATCCATACAAATATTTCGCTTCTCAATACTATTACACGTATAGCCAGCAGCTTTTAAATTTTTACTTTGAGGTAGTTCGTTAAAAGTTTTTTGCTCTTATACACGTTACCATATTTATAATTTTTAGTTTTTTCTTTTCGTTATTTTTTTTTTTTTTTTTGGATTTTTGGGGTTTTTTGTGGAGATTTTTATTTATATGTTGATTCAGTTTTTTTTTTTTTTTTCGTTTTTTTCCCATTTTTTTTCCCTCATATGTGTTCTTTATTTTTTTCTTCTTCATTCAACAGAATTTCATTGCTACAGTTGAAAATGTTTATAAGCCAAAGTCATACAATACCTTTTCGTGGTCATGTATATCTTACTGGCGAATGTAACTACGGTGGCCGCGTTACAGATGACAAAGATCGTCGCTTAATCTTATCGTTATTGAATATGCTCTACAACCCTAATACCATTGAGGTTGAGAAGTAAGTACATTATCACCAGAATCGTTATCATTACGCCAAATTACAACGGACACACATCCATATATTGATAGCTTCGCACAAAGATTTCCAAAAAAAAAAACAAAAAAAAAAAAAAATTATTTTACAAAGCTATAAATATGTGTCTCCTCGCATTAAACAACGTAAAGTACTTGCTTGTATTTCTTACGCGAAAAATATTTCCGCCTAGTGTCATCGGAACGCATACGAACCGAGAAATTAATTAATAATTTATAAGAAAACTGCTTTAAACATTCTTAAGTATTAATCTTTGGAAGTTGGCTCGTTTCTAGCTTTTCTTCACTTCGCTGCCTTGAATGTGTTGGAAGGTTGCCCAAAACGTGCACTAATCAACATTTCTCATTTGGTTTGTAAGAAATAAAAAAAAAAAAAAATCCCAATTACCGTAAGACTATGTACCGTGTTTGAAACGGCTGTCCATACGTCCGACCATTCACCATCCACTTCTAAAAATGTTTAAGACCGCAAAAAAGTGAGCTCAAACTTCGCAGTGCTTACAAGAGCAAATATCGAAAACCTCTGTATTAAGAGGTTATTTATTTATTTATTTTTTTTTTTTTTTTTTTTTTTTGATAAAACTAAAAAATTAAGCGTCACCTTAAAGCCTGAACGATACTACCGATATTTGTATGACAAAATGTGAAAAGATTTTGATACACATATTGTGTGGGTATTGTGTTACGTACATAATATCACATATCATTTAACTTGCACTTCTACTGTGCTTCGCAATCCATTAGTTATGCCTTATCGCAATCGGGCGAGTATAGAGTGCCACAGAACCCTACACGGACCAATGCTTTGGAATATATAGCCGAGTTTCCATTAAGTCCACATCCGGAAGTGTATGGCTTACATGAGAACGCTGACATCAATCGCAATAACAAAGAAACCAACAGCGTAAGCTTACCTCTAATGTTCTCTTTAGAATGCAAGTGCATTTTGTTAAGTATTTTACCCTTTTTTTTTTTTTCTTCTCATTGAATTATAGCTAATCCAAGGAGTTTTAAAAACGCAAACAGAGTTAATGGCTTCCGCCAAAGCTTCGGGTGCTGCCGAGGGAGTCAAAGTAGATCCAGTCTTTCAGATATGCAAGGATATTTTGGCTCGGATGCCGGAAGTTTTTGACTTGGCTGAAGTGTCGCAAAAGTATCCAGTTATATATACAAATTCAATGAACACGGTTTTAAGGCAGGAATTAATTAGGTGGAAATGAGTCCATTCGTGTTCTCATTACACTCATTAAAAATAATTTTTACAAAATTTTAGATTTAATCGGCTTCTGGATTATATACGCAAGAGTTTAGTTAACGTAATGAAGGCCATACAAGGTCAAATCGCCATGATTCCAGAATTAGAAAGAACGCACAAATCGATGGTTGTTGGCAAACTACCAGCCGATTGGCTAAAGAAAAGCTATCCATCTTTAAAACCTTTGGGAAGTTATGTGAACGATTTCCTCGCACGGTAAGATATCATCTTCACGGTTATAATCTTTTTACCATATATTTCAACGCGACTGAAACTTGATAATCCGCAGTCAGATATGTAAATCCGTTCTATGCAAACTACTATCTATCTGCATTTTCACGACAACGTTTTTATGTCACATAGAAAAGTGTATAAAAAATTTTATGTAAGTCTTAATTTTCCTCGCTGAATATATATATATATATATTATCCTTTTTTGATTACCTTCAATATAACCAAGAGATGCTGATAATGAAAAGTCTCAGAAAAATTAAAGAAACGAATTTATACGTTTTTATTGTTATTACGATTCCTGCCGAGCAATGTTTGGCGACGGTTTTATGTAACAATTGATAGATTTATTTGTTTTGTTAATCGCCATATAACTAAAAATCGAGAAGAGATTACGGAAAATCTAGTCCTAATCTAACCTTTTGCGCCGCAAGTTAATCTAATTAGAGTGAAACAGATCTCAGAACAAAAAAGTTATAGGAAAACGCTTAAGGCACGTTGTGGGTTAAAATTTGTAAAATTAATTTACGGAAAGACAATGCAAACAAAAATCGCAGATAATAAATTAATCCCTTATTATATTAAGCAGTTCTTGGAAAAAGGTGATTTTTGAGATTATTATTGGGACAAAGGCACTGTTTCGCACATTGAATTAGTGCCACGTTTCAGTTGATATTGCGTTTTAACTTTAATGCTTCAGAGAGAGAAAATTTATTGGCAAAATAGATACGACAACATGCCTAAAAGGATCTCTAAAGGCAATAACAACATTAATATACGTTCGCACCTCTCTGATGAATAAAAAGCAACACATATTCAGTATTTTAATTCGATTTTCTCCACTAAAAATATATCAAATAAATTAACGAGAGTTGCATATGCATATGTAAAGCATTTATGATAAAATTTATATCTATAAAATGGCATAAAAAAGAATTAAATTACATTAAAAACAAAATACGCTTAAATAAAATTCAGACCGTGTAAAATAATGTGCACATAACCTCAAAAGAAATAAAATGGGGAATAAAGCAAACAACTTGACACGTTTTAGTCGAGCAAGGCAGACTACTAAATATCCTACACAATTTCGCCTAATACAATTCTCCACCTAATCTCATTGTAAAAGATTAAAAGTTATACCTGACACCTGGTGTGTGGCTACGGCCTGAGAGAGAGAGAGAGCGAACAGATGCCTGAAGTTTTTTTTTTTAATTTGTAATAATCATAAAACGGTAGAAGATATCAACAAGATTTCTTTGGACATTCGTTATGAGTTTTCTTATTTATAAAATGATTGCCGGTAAATGCCCGTTTCTGGGCTTTTGTAAAAATTCAATTCTGAAACTCCAATTTGTAGTCACTTTTCCACATAGATATGCACTTATTTCGCCAACGTTGGTTCTGTGGCTTGACGCGCTGTTCAACTTTTAGGAAAATGAGGCGAGAAAATGGGGTCGGTATACAATACTGGCGCACTCAGACAGGTATGCGGATTCCGCACCATACCGACAGAGGCAACCTTGGCTTTTACCGATTCGATCCTGGCCGATGAGGTGAGACGCATCTGCGAAAGGAAGCACAGAGGTAAGACGCCAAGGATGCGAAAGAACCACGAACAACTTTCTGGCAAAGATAGTGCACGAATTGCGCCGGTTGGAGAAGTAATCGGTGCAGAGAAGATAAAGTGGAAGCCAGTGGTATGGTCCATCAATATTCCATCAAACGAAGACCATCGACTGCAACCAGCGCCCGCATAGCAATATTAAGCGGTCGAGATTTGTCGGAGTTGTATGTGCAGATAGTTTTAGTAGGGAGACCCCATTGGTTTTTGAATCGTGCATGTATTACTGTCTACTACTGGACCAGTAATATCTTTTGGAGCTATATACATGTACATAGAAATTTTTCTTAACAGTATTTCTTCCGAGATGAGAAGGAAGGATTCGTGTTATAGCAAATTAAAAATTCATTCATTATATTGGCGTTGATTAACTCAAATAAAACACCATACTTTTGCTTCGGTCCGTCAACTTATCCGCTTACTAAAATCACGATTGAAACTTTAATATTTTTAGCTAGAAGAAGAGACTTAGCGTCAAACTATTCCCTATAACACTCGCCAAGCTCAACATTTAATAAACATTTTCAACATTTAATAAAATTTGTCTGCTCACTAAGATTTTCGTGTCAAGTTGACAAAAAAAAAAAAAAAAAAAAAATTTCTACCCTCGTATATAAGACATAATATGTGTTCATATGGTCTTCAGTTTCTACGGTTCGGATTTCAAATTTATGTATTTACATAATGCAGTTTAGGATACGATATATCTTATGGATGCATCTTTTCTTTGCCTTGTTTTCACATATCGTTCGTTATAACTGCTTTCTTGCATTTGTCTTCTTCAGTTGACCTAAGCAATCATTCTTCTAAAGATTGGATACGTTTTTCTTTTTAAAGATTGGATTTCTTTCAAAATTGGATAAATAATGGCGAACCGAATGTTTATTGGATGTCTGGCTTCTACTTTACACAGTCATTTATGACGGGAGTGTTACAAAATTATTCGCGACGAAATCGCTTTCAAATCGATATGATTAAAATCGATTTTGAGATAACTAAATTCGAAGTGGAAACCGACCATCCAGCTAAGTTGGGCGCCTACATAAGAGTAAGTATTTATATCAAATATATTCAAATGAAACGAAATAATTTCGCTTATGTATTTTAAGTTCACAATATTTATAGTTCATTCCCATATATTTAATTGATTGTTTAAATTATGTCTCTCCACTAATTTATTTACCTGACTATATCTTGAAATTGAAATCTTAAAAGTCATAAACTTGCTTATATTAGTCATCAATTATTTTTTTTTTTTTTTTTTTAGTTTTTAAAGATAGGCTGGACACCTTCTCTTAAAGTATTATATAAATAATTAAATCTAAAAGGCTTAATACTTTTGAGACTAATTGCTTCTCTTCACCTTATGTAGTAAGCATAAGCGCAATACTTTTTAATTTCTTATATAAATAGGAAAAAATATAAATATATGCTTATCATATACATAACATGACATGACATTTTTATTTACCGCTGCTTAACTCGCTCTCAGACCAAACAACTAGAAAATGACGATATAAAAGCTTATCAAGTAAGTTACTTTAGCAAATGAATATCGTGAAAAATTGATCGATATGCATAACGAAATATTTTTGCCGTATTTTTGATGAAATTCAAAAAATTTTTATCATATTCGGTTTTTTTTTTTTTTTTGTTTTTTTGTTAAAAATTCTTTATTTGTAGGGTCTTTTTTTGGAAGGTTGCCGCTGGAATCGTAGTGTACAATGTATTGACGAATCATATCAGAAAATATTATTCGATACCATACCAGTTACTTTGCTAATACCAGCTTTAATAACATTGGATGGACCGAAAGTCTTGACTACCAAAGATGGTCGCAATATCTACGAGTGCCCCGTTTACAAAACAAGCGAGCGTCGCGGCATTCTCTCCACGACAGGACATTCAACCAATTTTGTCATGTACATGGACATACCTTGCACGAAAACTCAAATGCATTGGATTAATCGTGGCGCCGCTTCCCTATGCCAATTGGATGATTAATTTCGGTTTAGGCTTACATTTCGTTCTTCATCTCCTTGTCCAGAGACCGATTTACTTTTTCTAAATTGTACAAATTTTATATATATATATATATATATATATATTTTGGAATTTTTCAAATAACTTCGACAATATTTATTTTATATCCAACAATTTACTTTAAATTCATAAAAATATAAAAAAATAAACGTTTTTGCACAATTATTTAAATGAAAAATCAACATAATTAAAAGGTCTGCTTAATTAATATACGTATATTACCCAAATTAAACGTACAGTAATGAGTTTTTTACACACATCGCTCATCGCTGAAAGCGACGAGTATGATTATTTTATAATAACTTTTGCAAATATTATAGAAATTTGGCAAAAACTCTGCTTGCACGTAAGTGATTAGTGAGAGATACTGATGCAATTTAACCCCGTTTGTCTAATCACTTATCGTTTTGTGCGATTCCTTTTCAAATGGAAAAAGGTCATCAAAATTGTTAATATGATTTGGCGGCAAATTTGTCTCGATGCACCCCAAATCCCCCCCCCACCAAAAAAAAAAGAAAAAAAAAAAACGATAAAAGCAAAATATTTATTTATCATTAATTTTAAGTGAATTAATCTTAATCAATAGTTTTGTAATGCATCATTTTGATGTAGTGGAGCTCTGAGATTCGGCGTAAGATTTGCTCTCAAGTGTACACATTCGCGCTGCGGTAAATTGACCGATTTTATCTTATCTCTATGTGATACTACCTATGATAACAATGCTTTTTACCCTTTCATTTATTCACTTATTTTTTTTCTTCAAACATTTTTTTTTTTTTTACTCAATTCCACTTTAGTAGAATTACAACCTTAAACGTGTTCAGTAACAAAAAAAAAAAAAAAATTAAAATACAATTTACAAGTTTTTAACATTACACAATACAAACGAACCTTAAATATTTAAAATGTTTGCAGTGAAAAAAAATATCACATATTTTATGATATTCTTAAGTAAGTTGTTAAAAAAGAAATATGTATAGTCGTCTATATGCATGCATTGTACATATATTGTGCGATTGCAGCGTGCAAGTGACGATTTGCTTAAAAGTGCACAAGAGTGTGTATATGTTTCAACTGTTAAAACTAACTTAAAAAAACAAAAAAAAAACAAAAAAAAAACAAAACAAAAAAAGTACACATTGTAGGTTCATTTCTTTATAGTGTGGTCTCCCAACTATTCAACACAGTTCGTGATATGCCTTTTGACTACGTAGTTGTGTTTTCAATAAATGTTCTTTTATCTCTATCTCTCTCTCTCTCTCTCTCTCTCTCTCTCTCTCTCTCTCTCTCTCTTTCTCTTTCTCTCTCTCTCTGATAAGATATACTCACTATCTGTTCTGAATTGCATTCATAAGTAAGTGAATCATCATAATGAAGAATTTTACGTGGAAATAAATCGCACAACATTAGATAAGGATATGATAGATAGATAGAATATAAAACAAATGCTTGTCTGAGCAATTTTGTCAAACTTTAATTGCATTTGATCCTCCTATAAATAAGCTCACCGAATAGATGAAGAGCTATATAAGAAATATTGATTTAATAAAAGGCGGCACAATATTTCTTACGAGCCCTTGCATGCACACCAACATTTAACGTAACGTAACAGTTGGTTAATCAGCAGTTTTTTACATTTAACTTTAACTTTGAGGTTAAAGATTTTCTTTTTAGTATTTTGCCATAAGTTGCAAGTTACACTTTTTTACTTATTCTTTATGTATCACTTGTTATTATTATAGTTTTGGTTGAGATTGGAGAAGGGAGGACATCTAAGGAATCCATTCGTGTGTTGCAATGCTATGGCTAAGGTGTATTCTCATATATGTTTTGATTTTTATTGCGTCAATACTAGTTCGATATGACGAAAGAGATAGGAGAAGGTTCGCAGAAGAGTAATACTAATAATAGTATTGCGAATACGCTTTCATAATCTTGTCTTGCCGATGTGACCGTATATTGGAGTGGTATTCCTTAATTCTAGCTGCTAGTCAAGAGATTCTCTACAGCTTTTAACACAAACAGACTAACAGTGGGTGTATTTTTAAGAGCAAGGTTCGTAGCAAAGCAAGAGGGGTAGCGATGGCTTTCATTGCGAAGATTGTGCAATTAGTGCAGAAAGAGAGAAGATTTCGTACATTTTCAATGGATTTCAGGCTCCGTGCCATGATGTTTATGTAGATTCATCAAAAAGATCAATGCTTTTCAGGCCAGTGCCAAGCGCGCAATCTAAACCATTTAACTTGAAGTTCTTCTTATAAACAAATCAAATTTCAGTTACTTGAACATATAGCTGAGATTTCTTCTTCTTGCATTATTATTCCACAAGAGGGAATTTTATAAATATAAAGCAGATATTTTTGCAGTAGACTTCTGCTTAGATCACATGCGAATAGCGTAAAAATATACCAATTTTTGCAAAACATTTCTTGAACGAGCCTCGGCTCGATATGAAAGCATATATGCATGAACACGATTTATTTACGGACAATTCATAGTAAAACACTAAAATTTTTGGTTTATTTTTTGGAAAATATTAAAATGCGAAATATTTTTGTTTTATAAAAACCATTTTTATGCATGTACTTAAATATAAATATGTATGTATGTACCAGTTAAAGAGTAAACATGTGTTGTATACAATTGTATAAATGTATTCATGTTCGACATACAGCGCAGAGCACATAACGCAGAGCATATAATAAAAAAAAAAAAATTCATCAACATGTATGTCTCCGTACAATTTAATGCATAGCAAATATTATGAATTGCAAATATTACCATAAAAATGTTAATTAAGCAATATATATATATACATATATATAAGCAATATTTTTATACATGTAATCAACGAGCCAGTATTAGATTGGTGTACATGACATGCTTAAAATGCAGAATTGCAGACTGAGCTGTACAATCATTGCTTCTCCTATTATGGCCAGAAATAATTTAATAATTTCCTTTAACTTATTAACTAAATCCAGATCGGTTCAGTTGTATGCATCAGTGAGTTTATCCATTCAATATCGTACACACTAAGATCAAAGTTTCACAATTGTTTGTTGTTTGCTGATTAAATTCTGCAAACCGGATTCTCTTACATTTTACACAAATAGCTTAAGTTTATCATTTCAGCGGATTTCATTTTCAACAATTCAACATTTTCACCTCTTTTAATCAACAATCGAATTTCAGGTCAACTATACCCAATACTTAGAATTTCCAATTAGCACACGCCATAGCTGGTGGACAAAATTCAATTCTGACGAAAGACGAGTAATTAATCATTTCCGCATTTACGCGGATCTTAAACATATGACTCTAAGAAAAACTATTCATTACTCAAAAACAAAGTCTTTGACTGCTAAGTCTTCAAGTAGGACGTCTCTGTTTTTCGCGCTTATCAGGAGCAGCCATTTCCGGCACTGTATGGTCGATATAAATATGTCACAAGCTAAAGTCCAAGCAAACAACAAAGTCCTGTTTGTAGTTACATAAAATTTTAATCTTATATTCACCTAAACCGATGGGAATCAAGTATGCGGTTGAATGCGTACACAGTTCGGATTCTTGTTTTCTTTCGTATAACCATATCCGAAGAAGGGGAATTTATTAGAATTGTTGCACTATTCGCAATAGACAAACGTACTTATCAGAGAATCCGCGATATATATACATTCTTGGCCAACGTTAAATCGCTGTCGTCATGGCGCCAGGTCTATCGGTTCGATTGTCAATCTGGTTGTCACTTCTTGATGGCGTCGAAACGCCTCTACTCTCGATAGAGTCAACAAATACTTTCTATGACAATTTGCATTCGAGAAGTGAGAAACTTACCGTTATACGCTGACAAACTCGATTATAATTGGCAAAAGTTTGTAACGACGAACGTCTAAGGTATATTCACTCAAAGCCCGATACAAATATTTCCTATGGACATCTAAAAAGTCAATATAAAAACATTAGCTAATTGACACGCCCACAATTCATAAAGTATTTATCATTTGGACTTATAGATTAGAAGGGATAAAAAAAAATAAAAATTTGCTTTCAAAGCGATTAAGCGAAAGGCGAGCTAAGTACGAAAAAACCTGACCAAAATTGCTGAAAAGCCACGGTTATGTTGACAGCTTTCTTCGATTATCGTAATGTTGTGCACTATGAAATCCTGTGAACAAAGAATATTATTTAAATTTTATTCGCCGTCTACGTGAAGCTATCCGCAAAAGGAGGCCAGAATTGTGGACGACAAGACGACAATTCTTGGTTTTTGCATCATCCTAAAAACGCCACCTCAAACTGCATTAGTTCGTCGAGACCATCTCGTTAAAAGTTCAACCCATTCGGTCCACAATCTATCCAGTCCATCCATGTGACTTGTGGCTGTTTCCTAAATTCAAAAGACTACTCCGGGGACATGGTTTTGACTCGATTGAAGAAATGCAAGCTGAATCGAAGAAAGCTTTGAAGGCCATTTCGGAAGTCGACGATAGCAACTGTTCAGGGATGAAAACAACGTTGCCACGTTGGTGTATAATATCCATGAATGAGTAGATATAATGAGTAGAATTAAAAGAGATAAAATTTAATTGGTCGTACTTGTTGTACACAGTAGTAATTTAATTATCCCAACAAAATAAATTTCTTAGCTTGAAGTATGTGTTTTTGGTGAAATAAATACTAATTCATCTATAAATGTTTTTTTTTTTTTTGTTTTTTCTAAACGTAAATAAAATTTAATGAGTTTCCTCGACATTTTATAGCTTTGCTGGAATAACCAAAGGAAGCATTAGGAATTGTGTGAATTCAGAAAATTGAGTGAATAGATATCTCAAAAAAAAAAAAGAAAAATTAATTTTATTAAAAGAAAACGTTAATTAATTTTTTTAAAACATTCGGCGTAATAGAGTACGTGGATAATCATCACGCAATTGCCGCATTCACCGCTGAGACTGATATAAGTTTTTGGTTGTATTCAACACATAGCCGAGCGTAATTAACTATTTTGAAAATTGAATTCTATACTTTGGTCGGCATTCGAGACTTTTCGGGAAACTTGTTAGCGAATTTTAGCTGTAAAATGCTCATTGGCGGATAGACGACTCTCGACGAAAAACTCGAACAATTAACACAATTCAAAAATTAACGTTAAAATATTCTTTTGCCTGCTCTATGAGAAGAGGTGAAAATAAATAACTAAGAGAAACATAGAGCCATAGAGTCTTTACAATTGATTTAGAATTTTTCGCTTTTACTATGTTGAAAGTTGATTGACCTAAGGCCCTGCCGGTAAATATACTCATAACGTTCCCATATATTTCCATGTTGTTCGTTGGTTCTGCTTCCGCTGGAAAACACTGAGCATAAGTTTGAAAAGATGTGAAGCCAAACATTATGTAATAAAGCAAACCATCAACTTACGAAACAAATTCCCATGAGGCTTTATTATAACCATGAGTTGAAAACACATATTTAGCAATTCGTCAATGCTATGAAAAAAGATGACAAACTAAATTTGTCAATTCGTGCGTCGCATTTGAAAATACGTATGAGAAAATTTTTGAAATCATAGATAGATCGGTTTAACAAGCCAACAATTTGCTCAGCTTATCAACTAGCTTATGTATGATTGCTGTTAAACGAATGCATCGCAGGACTTAATGAAAGTGTTTAGAATTTGTATTATCGTATGAAGTAGGGTACAAAGTGAAAGGGAATTGACTGTCCAAGGTATTCTCTTCTGTTTTTTATCGCGTACTTTTTGCTCATTCTCCACTTGTTTTTCCGCTATACCTTGGTATTATTATTACTTGTTTTTTTTTTTTTTTTTTTTTTTTTTTTTTAATGGCTTATGCACACACATATGCCACTAATTAAGTTGTGATTAATTAAGGCTTTCAAGAACATACACGTGAGTACCTACATAAACGCACACAGGATCGTGTGTAAATATATTTTTTCGCTATTGTACAATTATTTCTATAGATACCAACGACCCCGCACATCCAGCTATAATAGAGCATAACTAGCCAACAATTATTTAAACATCATTAAGGAAAAACTTGTTGGTTCTCTTCTCCTTTTTTATTCTATCCTTTTATTTTAGAACATTTACTTTATTAAATTTTCCTGTGGTGCTGCTCTCTATACAATAATATGTACCTTTATACGTACATTTATACATATAAATTTATTTATTTATTTATTTATTATTATTATTATTATTATTTTTTTATTTTTTTTTTTTTCTCATTCTCTCATTTTCATAGTTGTATTTACCTGTTGCACTCAAGAAACGGAGGGTCTACGGCGCGTATTACGTGGCCGTCGCACACTAACACGCAGATACTTCAGTAAGTATTGTTTACACATCGTGCCTCAAATTCCGCAGAGATATGACCAAAGCTCCATTAAATGCAAATAATAATCGTTTAAGAAGAAGAGATGTTTCAAATAAGAATTTATTCTTTAAGTTAATGGAAATCAACTACACCGGCAACGTGTAGAGTTCTCATATTCAATACTTTGGAAATTATAAATTGTGTTATTTTCTCATTAACTGCAAATTTTTCAAGTGGATTGAAACATAGAAAAATCACATTTGTTTAGATCGCCGAATATGAGAACACGTAGAGTACATGTGATATATTGTTTTCTCAAGCAAGTTATGCTTGTGCGTGATTTCAGTTCACATAAACGATTTTAAAATTTCGTCTTGCTTTCGTCTAACTTAGTCTAAAACTTTTTCTTATCACTCTCACAAATCAAGCTTAACAAACAAAGAAAATTATGTACCACTATGACTGAATCTCATCACCGACCTCATACTCACCGTGTTTACCTTAAAAAGGACAAATGGAAAATGCAAAAAAAAAAAAAAACGAAAACTAAATATTTCCATAGTAATGGGCATTAGTGGCGCATTTTTCCCGCTTTCACAGAATATAAATCAAAATTTTTATCGCGTTTCTGTCGTAGCTTATGAATAGCGAGCGTAAACACACACACACACACACACACACAGGTTTCTCAGTTTGTGATGCATTCTAGGCATGTCCTTGAATCCTTTCGGCTCATTTTCGACACCGAATAATCGACAGACGAATAATCGGACAGACGAACATCGGACATTAGCCATTAGTGCTGATCAAGAACATATATGTACTTTATGGAATCTCCAAAGTTTCCTTCTGAATGTTGCAAATCTTTGGACAAAATGAACATGCCACTATTCTCTGGTGACGGGTACGAATATCAGCCAAAACGCACAAAACTACTAAAATAATTTCTAAAATAGATTGAAGTAAAAAAATATGAAATATGCTTAGGACAGTGTGAAATATATGCAATGCAATGCATGGACGATATGTCAATGGATTAAAAATGATCTTCGTTCCAGATAGCTGCACAAGAGAATAATAAAACAAGTGTTTTATTCAAAGTGTGATCCGTCGCTAGCTAGCCATTTTCCCCATCTTCCGGGTAATTTATGAATACAACCGCAACAAAAATCGCTGGCAAACCATGTTTCTCACAGCAAGTACGTAACGCATCGATGCAAACAAGCCGAATATGGTAAGCGAGCCGGATCTGGCTAGCAAGCACTTCCAAAAAGTGTGCTTCTATCGTTTCGCGTATCGAATTTGCTATATGTGAAATTGCATTTTCATGGAAAACAACGAACTTCCCGTGACTATTTTGAAACTCTGATCGTTTTTAAAAAGAGTTACGGATTTAGATCGACAAGTTGTTAGCGTTTGATAGTAGCCGTGCTACCAGACTTTAATAGCTCATACTAGATCGTATTCGTACCAAACACAAAGCATCATCATGCGATCGCTAAGGATAATGTGCCTTGCACCCATGTTTTTTTGCGGTTCGAAGTCTCAAAATTTATTCACTCTTCAGCATCACGCTATCCTCGAATGCTCCGTATTTCCCCCAAATTTTAACATACCGAACACAGTGAAACACTGCTATTCAAACATTATTTCAATTTGCCTTTTATGCACGGCTTGACACCCGTTGATTTGTTCCTTAAATAATCGAGCCGTGCTTGTATAGTTGTACATCCAATAAACATGCTACATAAGGATTCGGCCGTACCCACCTATAGTTTGTATCGGCAAACACTATATAAGAGTTTATTTTCTCCAGGGAAATGAAATTTCTTTCGTTTAGAAAATTAAATTGTAAAGAAACGAATTTACATCTAAGAGGATAAGGCAGCGAATTATCTCCGCTTCTGCATCGTAATTTCACGCTTATGAGTTAAAAAAAACGTACGGTTCGAGGATTGACCGCTTTCGACCTCTTCTAACTAAACGTTGAGTTCAAGTCGCCCAAATGGCTAAATAGTGCAACTTAAACAATTTTTTGAACTGCGACTAGCGTGCTAACTAACGACTGCATGTCGGATGAATGTCGCTTATGGTTTCTCTTATGTTTTAAATGCTTTATATATAATTGTATCATTGCGCTAAATTGCACGACGCCATTCGATATTGGACGATACAAGTGTAGTGCGGTGAATATAACACAACATCTCCTCATAATTGATATGAACTTAAATGTGAAAATAAAATGTTTATTTGTTCAATTTAACGATCAACATAATTGAGATTAATCTTTTTCTTTCTTAATTGCTTATGTATTAAATAAAAATGTAGTAAATGAAACTAATTAATGCTTAAACTGATGGATTTACACATGTTGTTTACGCAAAGTAATGGCAAAACAATTGGTATCGAATAATTAATAACTCTCTCAATTGCAGTCTTTATGCAATCGAGTATTCTTCAATTCAGAACACACCCAACATAAGGCCAATGTTCATGCTTCCAATTATGGATGCGATCCAATTACATCTAGATTACCATAATCCATCTAATAAGATGTGGGTGGAAACTCTTTTGTTCATGGAATCTCGGCATACAAAGATTCTCATGTTTTGCTGCAATATTCCCTTTAGTCTTTTCACATAGGGACATAATCAGGTCTATCTGTTACAGCTCTTATCAGCTGCAACATCAACAGAAATTTCCTATCTCAACCAGAGCCAAAACAAAATAATCCATCTCCAGTATTAAAAAGCAAAGCGTGTGTTTACCACATCATTACGTAATAGGTCATCATTGATTTTAAAAATTTTGCCTTCAACCTTAAACGTTGATGAGAAGAAGTCTTGGGTGTAAGAAGTAATTGCAAATGAAAATAATTCATGAAAACAAAATGTTTTTTTTTTTTTCGAACTAATGAAACGCTTAATAATCGATTGACCTCTCTTTTTATTTGCTCTTATTTTTTATTTCAATTCTGCTTCTGCTTCTGCTTCTGCTTCTGCGACTGCTACTGCTACTGCTTCTGCTTCCCTATGTAAGCTGGCCTTGCCATACCTGGTTGGTCGCTTGTCCTGCTGATTGGTATAAGTGAACTTTTACTCGGCGCTATCTTGTATGCGGTCATGTATAAAGTGATATTAACCAAGGAAGTCGAATCAAGGAATACATACGCACCGGCGCCAACGAATGATATTTAAACGGAAGACTATGGAATGCACAAAGTGGAAAAGAAGCACACATACACACTCGTACACATTCGTAAAAAAAAATAAGAATATGGAGAAAATGAGAAGGATAAGAAGGAAGAGTAAAATGAATTTCGTAAGATTTTAGCCGTAAGGGAATATTGTTCGCTTCTTTTTTTTTTTTTTCATATGCAAATTATTTAAATAATACTTTTATTTGATTGTATTCACCCAACTAAAAACTATATATAAACATTATCATGCCAGTAATTTGATGTAAACTAATTTTATGTTTTATGAACTTGTCAGTCCTGGTTACATTTGAATAAATGAATTAACTTTGATAACTGCTTTCTATTTGTTCACTTATTGAAATTGCATAAGGAAGATCTGTGATTTTATAAACGTAGACCCTAGATTAAATCCTTAAAGTGTATATCGCATTCATACATATATTAATTATCAATAGCGCAACACATGCACATACATATTATATATAGTACAATAGTATGCCGTTCATTTTTATTGCCTATGATCTAACATAAAATCTTAAAACTGCACTTGAGCATATTCGAAAGTAAGTAAGTAAGTAAGTAAGTAAGTAAGTACGTACGTACATAATGTAAATAACTTTAGAATTTCGTATGGCTTATAAACTCACAATATTCATAACATTATCTGAATGCTTTAATTACTTCTCCGATGTAGCTGTTACAGGTTCATTTAAACTAATAAGCTTAAGGCTTTAACATAAAATACTTTCCCTTTCTCCTCACTCTATATATATTTCTCTCTTTTGCCGCTGATAAACACCAATCTGGTCTAATTAATTAACAGAAGATTTCATCTATTATGTAAGAAGATCATATATTGACCTAAAACCAGTGAGAGACTTTTCCAAAAACTGCGTCCCTCAACTGTTTTGTTTACAATTAAAAATATATCCACAATTTTTACATCTGCATCTATATCTAAAATGATGGCCACCTAAAATGCACAGTTTTTTTTCCGGATGCCGAAGTTAATTTCCCCAAATTTTTTTTATTAACAGAAGAGACGCTTTGAACCTTCTACAATATAAGACAAAAAGATCATTAGCGCTCCCAAAAGCGTCCGTTGTCAGTTGAATCCCTGCCGGGAAATTTCAGCCCAATGATTTCTCGCTTCCCTAATGCAATGAAGATGAGCACGACTTGCAACCTTCCAGTATTTCTGCTAAGAAATTACATTTTTTCGGATAAAGTGCGTATTTACCTTTGGCAGGGGCACCCTTCTATGGTGGTGCTATATGCACCTTTTACCAAAAAGTTCTTATGGCACATGAATAAGGAAGAATTTTTGAACATCGAAGGGAGAGCTTTACCGAATTGCACAATGTGGAGAGAAAACTGTGAACAATTTGTTACAATCAAGAAACGTGTCCATAACATTTTTCAGTATCGGGAATGACTATAAAACACCATGCCCACACAAATGATAAGTTAATGTGGACAATTTTTGTTAATAATCGATTGCCTTTTTCACAACAAATTGCATTTTTTTCATCCAAAACATTCGATATTCAGGCAAACCGCTAATATTTTTACAAGTCGCACGTAATTATATAGTTTTGGATAAGTATTTTATTTTTTAATTTTTTTTTTTTTTGGTTTGTCCAAATGTGCATATAGAAAGCGTGGATAATAGATGGTGGCCTCCGGTTAAGGTTTTTTAACACCTTTTACTTCTTCTTTTTTTTTTTTATACTTAAACTTATGCTTAATCTCCGTGAATAGTATTCTTACCATCCATCTTAGAAAAATTGCCAATAAAAGAGTTTTTTTTTATTTTTAATCCACTACAGCGACTTCCCTCTTAATACACATACATCAGGCAAATGTGATATATAATATTGTTTTTTATTCAATGTTTCTCTAACTTTTTATTTTATAGTTAGTTAAATAAAATTGGAAATCCTTTTCTTCTTATCCTTTTCTTGAATTGATTCGTTCTTGCACTTTTCACGGCGTTGACGTTTAATTGCATTTGCACCACTGAAAATAATATGAAGAACTCTTGATCTAGATAAAAGCAATTACTTTTGTTGTTATTATCCTTATTTTCACTCAGTTTTAGTGTTTATTTTTTATAGGCGTTTATTGTTCGTTTCCATGGTTTTTTCTTCCTAACTTTAAATAAGAGTGTCCTTTTGCTTTCCTACACTTACCGCGATTGAAAACATTGATGTTTAGTAGTTTTTTTCATTTCGCTTATGTCGCTCCTATTAATGAGAACACAAGTGATTTAATTATGACCAACTATTCACTTTACTTTTCAAAGTTAATGACAATTATGACAGCAACTGATAACTTATTATTTATTTTCTTAATTTAAGTACAAATATGACATATAAATGCGTTCTCCAAATAGGCAATAATTCAAAAGCAATCTCAATCGCCCAATTAAATCAGCCGCTAGCGACTTAAGCTATACGATTTTTGCATACAGATGGCAGAGTAACAAAGATTCGCTTTCATTCATGTATATGTTTCCTATTAGTCCGCTTCCTTCATTTTTTTTTGTTTTTTTTTTTTTTTGTTTTTTAATTTAATCTCCGCTCTGTTAATGTTCAATTAACAATTTCATTTCTTTCATTTTTTTTTTTTTTCCTTTGTTCCGCGACTTTATGTTTTCTGAGAAACTCTTAGCATTAAAATAATAGTGTATGTAGTGCTTTTTGATTTTCCGTTAATTTTTCTTCTAAAATCTTTGAAAGATAGAAATAAAAGAAAAGTTCATATAAATGAAGGCAAGAAAGAAGGATGAAAACAATTTTTTTACTGTTGAAAGAAAGAAGTCAACTGTGTGAAGGGTTAATTACTTTCAAAACTTTTGAGATATAAAATTATTATACAATTTTTTTTTTTTTTTAACAGAGATTACAAACTAATAACGGTGTTCTAATGAGTACCATGGAAATACTAAGACTTGATCAAAGAAAGCACCCATCGTTTTTGCCCGGTAATCGCTGACTGGAAAAACAAAAAAAAAGAAAAATTTGTAAATTAATAAGAGTACGAAGTAAATTTGCATATCTCGCTTAATTTCGCGCATCAAGTGTTTTAATATATTTCGGTGTAACAGATTAAGATTTCTTCTTTTTTTTGCCTATATATTGACATAATACACCAAAGATTTAGTTGCCTATTTTTAGGCATAACGGACAATAAGTAATACTTCAAATTTGAACCCACTTATAATGGGATGGGGATTACTCTCTCTCGTTCTTGACCTAACAACCGTCTTTTGTTTTAAAGGGATAGGGGAAAGGGGACTTAAATCCAAGAAGTAATTTATTTACCCGTAGTAATAAGTCAAGTTTCTATGGATTAACACAATTTAAAATATGTTTATGAATCCTAAAGACTAAAACGCAGTAAGTACAGTATATCTGTTACCCATGCAAAAACAATTTTTTTTTTTTCTTTCGCCAAAATCGATAAAACGTTAAATAGTTTTATAAAACATTCCATTATGGTTATCCACATGTTATACAAGAAATACAGTTTTAAGTATATTGTTTTTTGATGGGAAAGTATTTTAAAATTAAATTTATTTTTATTGATTACATTTCAAATGGTGTACGTAATCCTTAAGAGTGTTAATGTACTGGAAATAAGGACAATAAGCGACGATTTTATAAATTGCTCACAAAATTGTTGTGATTGTCTTATTTACCTCTCTTTGATAATAAATTATTAAAAACGAAACTTTTCCTTTCTTCATTTTCCAACCGAATGTGCTTAACATTCAACGATAAATGTCAATTGAACATAAATTGTTGGCGTTGAAGCATAAGACAAATGAAATGTCAAATATTCAACAAAAGAAAAACAACGAAAACGAAAACAAAAATGTAGCCTTCAACTGCGAACAACCTACACTCGCGTACACAAATTAATAAGAAAATTAAAAAATCATTATTTTTTAACGTTGCCTCTGGAAATAGGTTGAGTGCTTGATGTGGATAGGTTGTCTAACCATTGCTATTAAGGTTTAAGAAAAGGCATCAGAAAATACACATTCATCTTAAAGGTAATTCTTGCATATTAATCATCTTGACTAACAATAAAAAGCTAAATAAAAAAAATTGTTCGCAAACGAAGCTTAGCCGTCTAGTGAAAGGACTGGTATAACTTGGTGAAATTTCATTCGCAATCGTGTCGTTAAGTCGATCTCCCAACCCTTTCAAACAAAAGCACCAGTTCAATATTTACCCATCAATGTCACCTTCTAAACTGAATAGTGTTGAAAATAAAAATTAGAAGAAATAGACAACGGAAGTTCATAGTGAAATAGTGAATATTAAATCGAAACCAATGGCCTGCAAGTAAAACTTGATAAAGGTTCCAGATCTAAGCGACCAACTACTAGCTTTTCTTTTCGTTAAACTTTGAGGTCTTTGCTCACACGTAGCGCAAGTTCACTCATTAAAAAAATCATACTAATCGCACTACTATTTATATTTGTTACTAATTTTTTCACTTAAGAAGAAAAAGATTTAGGATTTATGATGTATATACGTGCAAAAGTCGTTGCGGATTTGATATCGAGAACAATTATTTAAAGGCAATGGACAATTGTTACGAATTCTTGAGCAAAACAAATAAAAATATTATAGTCGGCCACGGCCGGACATTAAATCGCACGTCCTGTCGCTTAGTACATTTATTCGTAACGTCTTACAGTTTTTCATACAGTTACTCTTCAAAGTAAAGTATTATGTGAAAAGTGGTCAAAACCGTGGACCGATTCAAACCATTTTCAATAGTATTCTTCTTTGAAATAAAACACGCCCGTGTACCGGATTGCATCAAAATATCTCATAGATTGCGACTTGCAGATGAGCACAAAAATACATGGAAAGACAGCAGACGAAAGAACGTACAACCAGACAGACAAGGTTAGATCGACTCAGGAAATGATTCTGAAAATAATTCAGTTCAGAACACTTTTTCTACCGCTCCCCATATAAACCCCGAATAATAGTATTTCAGCATTTTAAATCGCTGTGAAAACCTTGGATCGGATGCAGAATTTTTTTAAACTTCCTTCCATGTAACCGTTCCACCAAAGTGAGCCTTTATATCGTAAAAAGGCCTTATTTTCAATTTTTCTTTGTGCAAATTGGCTCATTATAGTTAGTTGACACACAAGTTAAACTGAACGAATTTCGATACCGTAGGAAGGGCGAAGAAAAATAAACCTGTCTATAGCAGAAATGACTGATTTTTGAAATGTTATGAAGAAAGGTGGCTCGCAAGGGTTATTTGACATCAAGCAAATCAAACCAAATTTGGACCGAGCA